ATTTAAGGATTATGGAGGCCACTGTGCTCTTAGGAACCTTGAGTGCTGCAGAAATTCTTTTGTAACCTTGGCCAGATCTGTGCCTTGCCACAATTCTGTCTCTGAGCTCCTTGGGCAGTTCCTTCGACCTCATGATTCTCATTTGCTCGGACATGCACTGTGAGCTGTAAGGTCTTATAAGGTGTGCCTTTCCTGATCAAGTCAAATCAGTTTAATTAAACACAGCTGGACTCCAATGAAGGAGTAGAACCATCTCAGGGAGGATCAGAAGAAATGGACAGTATGTGAGTTAAATATTAGTGTCACAGCAAAGGTTCTGAATACTTATGACCATGTGAAATTTCAGTTTTTCTTTTTTAATAAATTTGCAAAAATTTCTACATTTCTGTTTTTTTCTGTCAAGATGGGGTGCTGAGTGTACATTAATGAGAAATAAAATTGATTTTAGCAAATGGCTGCAATGAAACAAAGAGTGACAAATTTAAGGGGGTCTAAATACTTTCCGTACCCACTGTATATTCAGACTTTCGGCACAAAGTCTGAATATATGTACAGAAATTTGAAGCGTATTTGACCACACCACCCTTATCGGGGCGGAGCTACGCCTGCTACCACAGCAGGCAAGGCTCCTGTATCTTGTGCCCACGTAGCGGGGCTTAAAAAGTATTTTAAAAAATAACAGCAATGCGAGGCAAGCAGCTTCGATATAAACGTCTTTATTTATTCACTCTTCACTGCTTCTCTTCTCCCATTTTTCGCTCTTTTTTTTTTTTTACGGACCACGCTTTACTTGTAACGCGGAAGAAAGAATGAACAATCCGCTACAGAACAACACATTTTCCGCGAGTCGACAAGGAACCTGTGAACAAATCAATATTTTAAAGACAACACAGTACACTACGTCATATGACAGCTATCAAACAAAATATCTTCAAATAAGAGTTAACAAATCACTCTTTGCATTACTGTTGCTCTTTTCCTTTCTGGGAGTTAGGTAATGATCGTCAGCACAATGGACAGCATTATCAAATAATAACATAATAAATAAGTATTTATAACAATTTTTATCACCCTTAAAATATCGCTATATAACGCTACTCTGAATCCCCCAGTGATTCAGTGAGTTTAGATTAACGATTTTATGACTGTAATCTGTTCTTATTCTCTTTAACGTATTTATTACATTTTCTATTACACAGCATTCACTGTTTTCTCTTATAATACTTGGGTTACAAATATAACCATGACATATGCAGGGGCTGTTTTATGGGGATCTGCTGTGCCGCCTGGCCGGTGGTAGCAGGCATAGTGTGTGGTCAAATACGCTTCATATTTTGTATTTTGTATATATTCTGGATTTTTGTATATATATTCAGGATTTTTGTATTTATATTCAGGATTTTTGTATATATATTCAGACTTTTTGTATATATATTCAAAGATGAATTTCCTGAATGGCATGCCATAATATATATACACTATATTACCAAAAGTATTTGCTCACCTGCCTTGACTCATGCTATGAACTGAAGTGCCATCCCATTCCTAACCCAGAGTTCAATATGATGTCGGTCCACCTTTTGCAGCTATTACAGCTTCAACTCTTCTGGGAAGACTGTCCACAAGGTTGAGGAGAGTGTTTATAGGAAT